GGGGTTTTCAATTCAATTGTATAGAATGCAATGGATGTGTGTATTTTATTTTTTATAGTTATAATAATGTGCATTGAAGATGGTCTTTGATTTCATTGTACGAGGTGCAATGACAACAAAGTAAACTAAACTAAAATCTTTGTTTAAGTTTGGACACCTGGGTTCTGCAATCCAAAAAATGTTCTGCCTTCAGATATGCTTCTCTGCAGCGAGCCAGGAGAGGGAAGTAGCTTGTGGCTTTGAACTGTGTGTGGCTATGTTGCAAGGACACTAATTAAAAAAGAAAACGTGAGGGTATGCCCAATGATTGCCCAACGCTATAGTACAGATTGGTGTGTTTTGTAATTAACCAGTTAGCTAAGATCATGCAGATGGCATATGGGCTTCACTATGCTTTACATTGTCCTGTGAAGTTTTTGGCCTGGCCTAGTTCATCAGAACAGAACAGAATGACAGAGTTGGAAGGGACCTTGGAGGTCTTCTAGTCCAACCACCCTGCTTAGGCAGGCAACCCTACACGACTTCAGACAAATGGTTATCCAATCTCTTCTTAAAAACTTCCAGTGTTGGAGCATTTACAACTTCTGGAGGCAAGCTGTTCCACTGATTAATTGTTCTGGCAGGAAATTTCTCTTTAGTTCTAGGTTGTGGCTCTCCTTGATGAGTTTCCATCCATTGCTTCTTGTCCTGCTTTCAAGGTGTTTTGGAGAATAGGTTGACCCCCACTTCTTTGTGGCAGTCCTTTAGAGATTGGGGCACTGCTACCATGTCATTCCTTAGTCCTTCTTTTCATTACACTAGTCATACCCAATTCCAGCAACTTTTCTTTATATGTTTTAGCCTCCAGTCCCCTAATCATCTTTGTTGCTCTTCTCTGCACTCTTTCTAGAGTCTCAACATCATTTTTATATTGTGGCCACCAAAATGGAATGCAAGTTGGTGAACAAATATTACCTGGCTTCCTTCTCATTTTTTGCTTTTTGGAGTGAAGGAAAAAGAAGAGCCACTATCTAGTAGAGTGGCCAAAGGGCACCTCAGGAGAGGAATTTACAAGAAATTGTAAATTACAAGAAATAGTTCCAGCATTTTAGGAAGGAAGAAGAAACTCTGAAGAGCAGACCAGTGGGATGGAGCAAGTCTTCTCATCAATGACAAAAGGGTCCACCAACTCAGTTCCAGATTAAATCTTGCACCTATGCTGTCCAGTGGCAGGATTCAAATTATTTCTACTACCGGTTCTGTGGGCGTGGCTTGGTGGGCGTGGCAGGGGAAGGATACTGCAAAATCTCTCTTTCCTCCCCATCCCACTAACCTGCTTTCCAGCTCCGTTCTCCTGTGCAGGGCAACCAAAGAAGGACCGGCCAATCAGCTGGGACTTGGGAGGCAGAGAATAGATGGGGGCGGGGCCAGTCACATGCCTGTGTGCACATGATACACAGCACCCCAAACAAGCCAACCCTACGTGAAAGTATCTCATGGTTTATACTTTTCTGGCTGGTTGATGGTTCAGTGTGTAGTACAGGAGTCAGCAACCCACAGCTCTGGAGCCACATGTGGCTCTTTCATCCCCCTGCTGCGCCTCGCTGTTGCCAATCGGCTCCACAATTGATAGGGCTTTAGGTTAGGGCAGGTAGAAGAAGAAGGATGCCACGCTAGGAGGAGACTCTATGGTGGGGAACCGGACTTCCAATTGGCTCCAGAGGGGGAGCTTCCAGTTAGAACCTTTATGGCTCTTTGAGTGTTTAAGGTTCCTGATCCCTGGTGTAGGACAAACCTCCAGTGTTCATTTCGGTATGGGTACCTGGGTCCTGCAGTAGCTTCTATGGGACGGAGCAGAGAACACATGTCCTCCATTGTCAGCTGCACAGCTCTTCAATGAGCCAGCAGGAAATAGCTTGTGGCTTTTACATTTATGCATGGCTATGTTGAAAAGCAGCTAATTAGAAAGAAGGGAAGCACACAGCCAATAACTGCCCAACCCCCGAATGCAGATTGGTACATTTTGTAATTCACTAGCTGCCTAAGATCATGCAGACGGCATATGAATTTCACTGCGGTTTGCATGCCCTGCCCATTTTATTTCGCCCCTGCACAGTTGATGAATCTGATCTTTGCAAGGGAAGGGGCAAAGTTAAAAGCCAATATCTCTAAGTGATCTTGATTAATAATTTGCCCACTGCTGCAGCGGTCTTGATTGAGCTCAACTAAGGCTAAAAGGAATTTCAAGCTTGCATCCAAACTGAACTGGGGTTCCAATAAAGGATAATATTTATAGCTCAAGGTTGAAATGAAGGGTCCTTGGTGCTCTCTGAGCTTGTTCGTTTTCTTGCAGACATTTCATGAACCAAATTAAGTAACATCATCAGTGCTAGAACTGGGGTGTTTAGATTAGATTAACAGAGTTGGAAGGGACCTTGTAGGTCATCTAGTCCAATCTCACCCCCTGCCCAAGCAAGAGACCCTACCCCATTTCTGACAGATGGCAGTCCAATCTCTTCTTGAAAGTTTCCAGGGATGAAGCTCCCATAACTTCCGAGGGCAAGTAGTTCCACTGATGGATTGTTCTCACTGTCAGAAAATTTCTCCTTATTTCTAGATTCAATCTCTCCTTGTTCAGTTTCCATCCATTATTCCTTGTCTGGCCTTCAGGTGCATTGGAAAATAACTTGACTCCTTCCTCCTCTCTGTGGCAGCCCCTCAAATATTGGAACATTGCTATCATGTCTCCCCTGGTCCTTCTCTTCACTCTTCATGTTCTTCATATGTTTTAGTCTCTAATCCCTTAATCATCCTGGTTGCTCTTCTCTGCACTCTTTCTAGAGTCTCAACATCTTTTTTATAGTGTGGGGATCAAAACTGCATGCAGTACTCTAGGTGTGGTCTTACTAAGGCTTTATAAAGTGCTATTAGTACCTCCCTTGATCTTGACTGTATCCCTCTGGCTCTGTTAAATGCATTTTAGGATTGTGTAGGCTTTGTTGGCTGCCGCTGCACATTGCTAGTTCATATTTAATTGGTTGTCCACTAAGACATCAAGATCCCTTTCACGGTTACTGCTATTATGATGGAGAAATCCATTCTGCAGAAATAGCCTTAAGCACAATAGAGCCTGATCACCAGTAAAACAGCTTAGAACTTCTTAACTTTTTAATGGTTTTTCTACATTGCTAGAAACCTGGCAATTAAAAGTCATTGAATGCAGTCATGAGGCAAACTATCTCCATAATTGTTGAAGGATATCACAAGATCAGAGAGATTGTGAAATTTCAGCTGTTGTTTTACTTTTATTTTAAATTTTGTATTTGAGAAATCAAGCTAGGAGACTCTCACAGGTGGGGTGGCCCCAGGGGTGGGATTCTATCAGTTCGCCCCTATTCGCGAGAACCGGTTGTTAACATTCTAAGCAGTTTGGAGAACCGGTTGTTAGAAGAAATTACAGGCCTAATCCTGTAAGAAAGGCAGGAAGGAAACATTCTGGTGTTGCTTACAGAAACTGCCTCTCCGTTAATCCTTATTACATTCTTGGCAGGACTAGACTTCCTGTCTCAGGAACTTCTCAGGAGTTTTTCCCCCCTCCTTTGCTGGTACTTTGCTTGTGTGGAGTGACCATTCAAAGTTACAATGGCACTGAAAAAAGTGACTTATGACCCTTTTTCACACTTACAACTGTCATGAGAGGCCAGGCGAGGAGATGCGTGCCTCCATGTGAGTGATATTGAGTTGTCCACGCTCAGCAAATAACATGACCACCAAGGCACGCCCACCAACTAAGCCACGCCTACAGAACCAGTTGTTAATACATTTGAATCCCACCCCTGGTTTTTCCCCTGTGGCTTCGTGTCTGCCTTATCCTCTCCTGGCTTCTAATATGCCCCTCTAGAGCCTCGGTATACATCCCTGGGCGGCCCTGTGGGGTAATCTTTAATTTAGTTTGAGATGAGAATCCAGCCATTCTCTTGCAGGCTTTTCAAACTGGTGGCCCATGGGCCGGATTCATCCTGCGCAGGCCATGCCCACCCTGGCTCCACAAAGGCAAAAAATCATCATGATATGTCACGATACGTCACATGACGTGATTCAGTTTGACACCCATGCTTTACAGCAATCAGAGGCATGGGATTTTCTCTGTATTTTAGCAAAGCAAACTTTATTGAATGAAAAAAAAACCCTCAATGAAAAAATATACACAAATTATATGCAAAAAAGGTAACAAAAGTAAAGCAAATCCATAAACAATATGCCAACCATGCACTTAAAACAGGAAGCAAAGGAAATGAGGATCTCGTACATCATGGCTGTCCAATCTTGGCAACATTTAAGACTTGTGGACTTCAACTCCCAGAATTCCTCAGCCAGCCATGTTGGTTGGGGGAATTCTGGGAGGTTGAAATTCCACAAGTCCTAAAGTTGCCAAGTTGGATACCCTTGTTTTAGAAGTTCTCTTTCCTTAGGTGATAGAACATCACCTTGCATGTTAGAGGGCCAAGGTTGACCTTCTAGTCTTTCTAATTAAAAGCAGGTTATGGGAAATGCTTCTCCCTGGAACTCAGTGTATACCAGAAGAAGTTAATAAACAAATAGCACTAGTAAAAGCAATTTATACATCTTCCATAACAACCATGCATTTGGGCTTTCCACACCTTTAAAAAATGGTGGAACTTATTGGATTGGAAGTGAATTTAATGAACTCCATTGAAAATCAAATTCATCTGGTTTTAAGACCCTATTAATTTCAATTCATGTAAATTTCCTCAAAATCTAAAGGCAGCTATGTCTGAATTCAATCCTTTTGTTTTTGAGCAAAGAAAAAAGAAACAAAAGGAACTGAGAGGCTTCCATGAAAAAAGAAAATCTAAAAAATACTTTCCCCAAATCTTCCAGGCAGCCTTCTTTGGATATATGGTTATGGGGACAACTCAGGTTCAGTTAGGTCTATGAGTCTGATGAGAGACATGGCCTGGATTGCTATGCGAGAAACTGTCTACTTTGAAATTATTTTGTTATTTATTGATTACATTTTTATGCCGTTCATCTCCTCTATCTGGGCAGAAATAATGTCTCTGTTTGGAGAACAGGGAGTTCACACTTCCTGAAGAACACTTTCAATGGTGTGACCACCAATGAGTGGAATGAATTCATGTAATACTGTCCTAAATGGGTCTATGTTTATTTATTTATTTATTCAATTTATAAGCCACCTCGATTGCCCAAGCATCCTTAGGTGACACACTTATTAAACGAGTAGCAAGTATGGGTAGTGGGGGAAACAGACAGTTTTGAAAATAGAATAAATTTTGATCGAAGTGCAAGATGTTATATAAGGAAAACAGTCAGGTAGAACTTGACAGTGGAAAGCTTGCACACAACAGTTGGAGCTGTTGAAAATGACTTCAATCTCAGAATTTCTTATTTCATATTAGAAGGTCAAGGAAGTGGAGGAAGATTATCTGTAAGAAATTCGGGAAGCTGGATTTTTCAAGTCACTGTATATATCCATTCGCTGACCTTGAAGTTCCTGTGGGATCAGAAAGAGGATGTGTGTGTACATTATCATTCTCCTTTTCTCAAAGAATCCGAAGCTTTGATAAATTAGCAAAATTTTCTTTTGAGCCTGACCAGATGTCTTCAGAAAAATCAAATGCAAATCAGGCATAATATTAACCACCCATCTTCCTATTTCTCCACAATCTATACTCTCCAGAGTATAGATTGTTTGAGAATGTATGAACATTCTATTTAGCCAAGAGATGACAAAAATTATGAATTAGCTGCATTTAGTGTTCCCCTCCTTAGCAACATTTACATATTGCTACATATTGGAAGTAAACAGTCAGACTTTCCGGCAAATCTGTGATAAAATTCTTAGTTATTGGGAATGCTTGGTTGACACCAACTTGATAGCACATAATCAATAACACACATTTAAGTACAGCATGTGTCACGATTGGATTCACGTCGAGTTAAAACTCAACAAATCACCCAGTAGCCTGCATTCTCTCTGACTCGGTTCCTACAACATTGCAAATTCTAAACCTGGCTTAACAAAAGACAACTGTTGTGTTCAAAATAACCTGCCCAAATCGTGGATGGTGGTGCAGAATGACGACAAGCTGACCCAGAAACAAACCCAGCCTTACTATCGCATGCGACCTGGCTTCTTGTAGTAGGGCTCCCCTTGTGTGCGTGTGCATGCAATGTTAAATGTCATCAACTCCTTTTTGTTCCCTCCTAGGCTAGTAGAGAAGCTGCAGCTGTCACTCCACAACCCACAATAGAGACCATAGGAGGAAAAGTAAATATAGAGTTTATACATCATACTTACCTCATAGGGAGATTCATGCTGAGCCTTGTCTGCTAAGAAGAAAGAGAAGGCTGTGAGTGTATGAAACATATTTTTGAGATTCTACCCAAAGAGAATCGAGAGAGGGGAACGGAGGTTGCGTTATCTCATTTGCTGAAAGGATGTGACGCTGAAACTGTGGTTAATGGTTTACTGAAAGGCTGCCACTGCAAGCTAGGATTGCCCAACTTGAATTTTCAGACAATGCCGTCTGACCTTCTTTGGGCTTAAAAATAAAAAGAGGTCCATCTGACCACGTGTTTCAGTGGACACTGACTTCCTTACACAGGAGGTTTTCTGAAGAATTCTAGCTTGCTTCTCTGCTGCCTTCCTCCATTTTAAAGCTCCTTTTATAATACTTCAGGTGACAGATAGAGAAATGATTTATTGATAGATAGATGATAGATAGATATAGATATGATATAAATGTAGATTATGGATATAGATCGATAGATAGAGATAGATCAAGAGAAGCTTTTTAACCCGTTCTCTTCCTTTTCCTCTGCTAAAAAGAAAGCACGGGTCCTTCTCTTTTTTCCAAATGCATTAGGGTTGCGTTATAATCTAGAACAGTTTTTCAAGCATGGCAACTTTAAGATGGGTGGATTTCAACTCCTAGAATTCCCCAGCCAGCCATGGCTTTTGTTAAGCCATGCTGGTTAGGGAATTCTGGGAGATGAAGTCCACCCATCGTCAGTGTTCCAACTAACCAACTTCAAACCAATAAACTCCGAGAGCAAACAATTCCTCAAAGTTCCATTTTATTAGAGTTGTCCTATTGGCACATCTGGGAAAACCCAATTTTGAGAGTTCTGGGTTTTCCCTTCCCAAAAGAGAAATCAAAGATCCATCCCCTGCACCCAATCAGTCCATCCCATGGCCCAAGCAAATCTTCGTCCCAATTGGAGACATCCCTCCAATCGCTCCCCTCCAGGTGCAGGGCAACTTGTCCTTGACTCTCTGAGAAAAGAGTGTTGTTCTGTCTAGTCTTCTATTGCCCCTCCCAAGTTCCCAGGCACTGAATGTGGCAACCTCAAAGCTCCCGAGTAAATTATGGCTTCCAAGGCTGACACCCATCTTAAAGTTGCCGAGTTTGAAAAACTCCGTTTCTACGACCTTGTCTTATGTAGGCTCCGCAAATTGTACTTGGCATGGATGGTATGCTAAAATAGTGAGGGTCAAGGCCAGCCAACACCGTCGACTTTGCCAAGTGCGCATTCAGCACACAGCCATTTGCTGTGGGCACAAAAGTCTCTTTCACTTAGATCCACGCACCATCAAGCACTGACATTTCTTCAAGGGGAAAGTGTGCACTGAGGATGTGGGAATCTCTCCTCCTTACCACTGCTGGTTGCTTGCTGTTTATAGATACAGCTGACCACGTAGTAGACTCCAAGAGCAATGAGCAAAGTCAGGAACAAATCTCCCAGCACGACTCCTGCAATGGTACCGGGATTGATCTGATAGCAATGGCCATAATCTGGGGATTAAAAAGGATAGAACTGTGAGAAGCATAGAGACCTGCTTTCTGGGGCTTCATGTATCATTTCAGCCCTAATTTCTTGGCAATGAGAAGCTGGTTCTACCATGAGGTCCTAAGTGCTCTCTGAGCTTGGTTGTTTGCTTGCAAAACAGATGGCTTCATTACCTGGTCAGGTAACACCATCACTGCACTGATGATGTTACCTGGTCAGGTATAGTCAGATGCCTGCAGCAGTGGTGGGATTCAATTTTTTTTTACTACTGGTTCTGTGGGCGTGGCTTGGTGGGCGTGGTGTGGCTTGGTGGGCGTGGCAGGGGAAGGATACTGCAAAATCCCCATTCCCTTCCTGCCCCACTAACCTGCTTTCCAGCTCCGTTCTCCTGTGCAGGGCAACCAAAGAAGACCCAGCCGATCAGCGGGGACTCGAGAGGTGGAGAATAGAGGGGGGCGGGGCCAGTCAGAGGTGGCATTGGCCGGTTCTCTGAACTACTCAAAATTTCTGCTACCGGTTTTCCACAACTGGTCAGAACCTGCTGAATACCACCTCTAGTCTGCAGCTAAACAACCCAAGCTTGGAGAGAACCAAGAATTCCATAGCTCAGCCTTGAGCTACAGATATTCTTTTCTATTAGGCTGGCCCTACCATTAAGCCAAAATAACCTTCTCTACAGAAACACCCCCAATTTAGGGCAGATGCAACGTTAGGGAGTCTCTTTGCACCTTTCATGCAGCTCTAGGAACGTCAGAAGAGTTAGCAGCAATATGCACATTTTTCTATTTTTTTTTTATCAGATCTTTTTTTACTCACTCTGTTTCCTGCTTGCATTTGCAGCCTAGAATAGTTGCAGCAGGTTCGGGGAAAGCGGGGAAACAATTGGATCAGGGAAGAAACAGTTTTCCATTTTAATTGATTATAATCAAAGATCAGCAGAAGAAAACAGGAAAAGCGAGTCGCGGCTGCTTGGCTTGTTGCTAAATTGGAGTTTTAAAACTTCAGCTTGTAATCTTTATTTATAACTCCAGTGATTGAATGCAGGGATGAGCATTCTTTCACTTTTATAGAATTATAAAGTAGAGTATAGGACCCGCTGCATGTTAAAAAAAAACACCTTTGTGCACAATTCCCCACGTCTCGCTATCTTTTTCAGGTTGTGACCATTTCTGCAAGCTATTTTTCCCCCCTACACATAATGCAGTTTTTTCTATGTGAGTTGCATCATTACGGCTGCTTCCCCATTAACAGCGCAGCTGCAAAATTCGAAATAAGCGGATTTCATTGTACACCCTAAATTTCAAAATTTCGGCCTATCCGTTTAAGAGCAAGGAGTGAAGACATCGCAAAAGGCATTTTTTTCCCCTTTAATAAGGAGCAGACTGAATCTATAAATAAATACAATAGAATGCAGAACTTGGAGACTAGATTGAAAACACCAGATGCTATGCCATTGCTGAGAGCAAGCAGGTGTTGGGTTTGTTCAACAATCTGGAGAAGTCAATACAGCAGTGATGGCGAACCCATGATATGCATGTCAAAGATGTCACACCACATCTTTATGGGGTGGGGGAATGACACACATCAGCATTCATCAACACCCGACAACAACTTTTCTCAAAAAGCACCCCCCCCCCGCTCTTTCTCACATGATTTTCAGAGGCCGTACGAAAACAGGGTGCGTTTTCTTGTGCAGCTCCTGAGGCCTCCAGAAGTGGAGCTTATAAAACTCTTGTGAGAATGAGGTGTGCTTTTGTGAAGTTTTTGAAGGCTGCAGAGGCTGCAGAAGAGCATTCTTTGAAGCTGCTTCAAGAAGGTTAGGGTGACATCATTCCCCAAAGGTCACGTGCCTGAAGAGTGGCACAAGGTGGCCTTCTTCAGTGACAGTGGTGGCACTAGAGTTGAAACTGAGGCCTGGGGTGTTGAGAAATTTTTTTACTTTTGTGTTTCTCTCTGTGTCTCTCTCTCTCTCTCTCTCTTTCTCTCTGTGTGCATCTCTCTTTGTGTCTCTGTCTCTGTCTCTGTCTCTCTCTGTCTCTCTCTCACTCTGTCTCTCTGTCTGTCTCTGTCTCTCTCTCTCTCTCTGTCTGTCTCTCTCTGTTTCTGTCTCTGTCTCTCTCTCTCTCTTTCTCTCTCTGTGT